TCTGATTTATTAATTATTACACATACTATATCCTATGAGTGGAATATTTTGAATATAATTTTGAATATTTGATTAAATTTTATAATACGCGTATTTTAGAAGGAAAGAGAAAAGATCTAACTTAACACTCCATTGAATGTAATCGATTTCATTGCCTTGACATATTAACATAATTAAGAGTGAACGCTATAGATTGTTTGCATGTTAATAAATAAAAAATTAAGAAATAATTATATTATTATTTTTATCAATGTTGTACTTGTATGTTTTGTAATAAAATTTATCTTGTAAAATACCTCTACCTGAATCCAATTTTTAACTTATAAAAAAATGTTACATAAACTTGAAAAGTATTTTTATCTATTTTTAGTAAGTAAGTACGTACCGTAATTTCATATTCTACATTGATATTTAATTTCTCATTTCGAATTATATGGATTCATAAAAATGTAAATAATTATTTTAAAAATATTGCATTACGAACTACTTAAAGGGAAATCAATAAAATTAGTGTATTTATTTTCCCAAGATGCTTCTACACTTCTCATTAATAGCCTTAATTCTTATAATATGGAGCATTAATGCGTTAGATACTTCATTGATCATCACGAACGACAAGTAAGAATACAAATCTTTCAACGCCATATTTATTTTGCAAAATGATTCAAATGTTTTGTATTAAATATTTTGCGTTTATTTACGAACTTAGTTTTTTTTTTTATAAATGTTATTTAATTTACAGGGTTACGTCGAGATACCTTAGACGGTAGCGAAGACCGAATAAGAGATCTGCCTCCAAGGGGTGGCCATCAAGGAGGTGCAGGAAATTCAGGATACATGGGTGGTAGACAAGGTCGTCCTCCAGCTCAACGTAGAGATCGTAGAGATGAGCGTCGTCGAACAACTGATGATGAAGATACAGTTCTCGATAGCCAAGACGTTTCAAGCATTGATAGAGGTAATAATATTTTTCAGATAACATTTTATAATGGAACAACCGTTTCGTCCTAAGGAGAATAGAATATTAAATTTAAATGCTTTGAGAGTGGCATGGATTGCAAAGCAAACACTTGTGACCATCTAACACTAACAATGTCAATGACGATTACTAATGCACGCTACTAACATATGCAGTAGCTTTCTATATAGTCGGTTAAGTATATTTACATTTTGGGTTTTATCATAATATAATATGAGAAGATGGTCACAATGGTTCGTCTATGCATAGAGTCTGTATCAAGTGTGGAGGGTGGACCTAAAGGCATAAGGCGAAGACGGCTTCGACGTTCTCGACAACGTAGTTCTACACCGACAAATAGCGAGAAAGGTAACTATATGCAGGAGCTCACACGGTATTCCTTTAGGACGATCGGTTTTGGCAGGATGTAGGATTTAAACGCACTATTAAATATGCACTTCAAGACAAATCTTAATATTTTTGAATATACAAAAATATTCAGAGTTAATATATACATTTGTTTAGGCAGCAATGCCGGCCCAGGAGACCAGTCAACCGTAATTAGTAAAGAAGGGACACCAGGAAATGACATTTCTGCATCTAACAACAGTTCCCAAGGGCCTAAAGCCCAAAGAGAATCACGGTTTCGTCATCCTCGTATACAACAGAGCAATAAGCCTAAAGAAGCTCTGGTTAATGGTACCAGTGGCTAAATAACCATTATGATCGTCAACTGCTACTTATGTATAACACTACACCTGATGAGAGCTATTAACACCCAGCACATAACATGACGCATACCTACGCAAGGACTACACGATTATGGAACGCGACATGATTAGTCTACGCTCGTTGTTAAGACTGTTTGCTACCGATAAGAATACGACAGTTGTTTAAGAAATCGTCATTCTCCTTAAACACATTTAAGGACACACATTAATATCCATGCATGGTTTAGTTTAATGATAGTAATTATGCTATCATGTTTGATATATGGATACATTCATTGGGAGATAGTAGAAGCATCTGGTAAAAGGAATCCCCTGATTGTGAAACTGTGCCTCATTTTTATACCAAGCTCCCAACTTGCGTGACAGTAATTTCGACGTACTATATAGTACCTCTTAATCACTTGTGAAATGATCCAATAATAAGCTGGATATTCGTGGCTCGTACGTCAATTATCAATTTGAACAATTTTCGTCTAGATGTGTCGCTATATTCATGACAAAAGAACACGATACGTACGAAAACGCAGAATGTAATCAATTTCAATGTTATTTCTATTCCCTTGATTAATTAAATGTTTGTTGTCTGAAGTTTTTTAATACTTTTAAACATACATTCTAAGTAGAGGTACGATTTTTGTGTTATTTTGTATTCGTTTTTTTAAAAAAACGAAGATTGAACTCACTGGATATAACTGTTCAGCGACATAACTAGGACGAAACTGAATGTGATGTAAGAAAAATGGATTTCCGTTGTTAAATATAACAATGGTAGGCGGCAGCTGCATGAAATCTGGGTTAAAGGTGTTCCCAATGATGTTCCTTCTATTTACTTCACAAGATTGAGTTTTTTTTTGGTTTACAATTACTAGTAGAATTATTTAACAACACTAGATTTTTATGTTTCAATGCTGAGTGTTGATTAATAATACCATGATGAATGCTAAAATGACTTATTTGATTATAAAAAACACAAATGGGTGTGCACAAGAAGTCGGTTTTTATTTCCGGGTTCCACTTCTCACGTAATTTAGTCTTTTTTTTTTTTATTACAGTCTAAGCATACTATATCAAACATTAGAATTTGATATAAAGTTCGTTTCTGCATTGTTTCGCATGATTTAAAAGGAAAGTAAACGTATACTTAGTAATACCAATGTATGATGTGCCAGAGAAGGAATGATACATGTTTTATGATATCTAGCTGAAGTGCAGACTTAGCGCATACCTTTATTACTATAATACTACTTAGTCGAAATGTGGATGTCTGAAAAAATAAATTAGCTTTACTATACTAAGCTATAAAATAGATATGGCTAACTGTTTTAAATTGATTATCAGTAAATATTAAAACTTAACTGTCAATTTAAAGCAGTTGCCTCTTCTTCCGGATATGACAACAACTAATCGGACGTGTCTCATGAATTTTGCAAAAACGCATGGCGGTTAATGCAATACTTGACACCTAATAAAACAGCTGCCATTTTATCTGAATATTCTTATGGCAGCCAAAAAAAAACTGAGATATCCCCCAACTTGCTTGTTTCAGATACATTTGTATTGATTGCAGTTTGTGCATAATTTAAGAATAAAACATTTCTGTACATAGAGCGGTCATTAGTATGATGAACCACAATTTTTCCAAAACATTAATAATCATTTTCTAATCTTGTCAGTCGTTTTAAAATGCAACCTTCGTTCCTATCCTCAACTTTCATACATTATTTTGTATTGTAACACCAATACTGTTCTATTTGTTTTTCTGAGTTTCTTAATTTGTTAAAATATGTAAAGTGTAGTTTAATATTGATCATAAAACTTTTATTCGCAATTAGAACAAATATATTAAAAAATTAACGAATATTTATGCTTTAAAATTATTTAATTAGACATTTTTGCGTGGAAGCAAATAAAAATGTGTCGATTGTGTTTTTTTTTTTTATATGTTTTACGTATTTTTACTTTCATAAATATTTTAAGTTTGAAGCATTATGGAAGATAAAATGATTAAAGTATAACATATAACTGTATTCACTATGCGCTTTTAAAATGTTTTTTATGTATGTATGTAATGATTTTGTAAATAGTCTTTTGTAATTGTACTATTTACTACAATTTTCAAGTGCACGAGTCAAAATGGTAACAAAGATTAGATTTGGATGCAATAACGATAAGGTAATGTATATAAATATTATATCGATAAGGTGATGTAAATAAGTTCATTATAATTCTTGCTATAAATCAAGTTTAATTTTGTGTAATAAAAATTTAAGGAGGGTATATTCTATAAAATTTAATATACATATAGATTAAAATAATAAACTTTTCTTTTTAATACGTTCATTGCGGTACAAGACATGTTTTGTGACACGTTTCATTCTTTATGTTACATTTCATTAAACCTTTGTTATATTTTAAAATGATATGTAATTCAAAAGTATGTATGTAGGCTCTGTAGCGCTAAATATGAAAGTGTAATATAAAATGTAATTGATCTATTCTGTCCAATTTCGCCAAAGATTCAAGTCCTTAAAAAAGTATTGTAGTTAATGTATTAATACACACATTCAGCCATTAATTCTTCGACTAAATGTGGTAGTAAATTTTCTACCCAAATAATATGAATTTATTGAGTTGGCTACGATATTAAAAATAACAGATTATTGATGAAGATGCTAATAAAAATAAAAAACCATGCAAATACATAGTTGTGTGAATTTTGATGCAATAATTATCCATAAATATGTGCGTCATAAATGCCACTACATATTCCCAACAACTTTATTTCTTGCCTTTCTAGAAAAAAGTTACCAGCTTGAATACCAATAAAACAAAGTCTTTTTAGGCATTTGAATATTATTGTGCGAGGGTAGATTACATTTTAATTTTTATATATTTTTGTAGGGAGCATGTAGTAATTCCTCAAGGAGACCAACAGGGAGTGTGATTACGAGCACCGAGATATGCTAGAGAATATCCAAAGATACTTTCAGCGTTCTTGCAAGCCACCCGATATACTAGCATGACAAACGCATCAATAAAGAGATTCGTCCATACCACGTATATGTAGTAATTTTCTCCCCAGTATCCGCGTGTAGAACATTACCTATATTTTCATTTTCAACGTCGCAATCAATATCCTTAAATCTAGTATTAATAAATAATAATTTTACTATTCAAAGGCCGTGCTAGAAAGTTGTGAGAATTGCTGCAACCCGAAGCCATCTGGTGGTGAGATCATAAGACAGTATCATAAATTTTATTAAGTATGTTTCTCATCTAAAATATGTCCATGATAAGATTTTAGTCCGGAGCCGTCAGCTGTTGTGTCAAGTGAACGTCCTTAACCAACAAAATAAGTGAAACTTATCAATAGTGTTTGACTGCATAGTAATCTTGTTATTTGTTATTAAAAGTGTTGTAAATTTCACTGGATTTGTTAACAGAAACGAGGTTCGTTTATACATTGGTTAGATCAACTATAGTTGATGTTTGCTCGAAGACTTTTCACACCTGTATTAGTGCTAGTCATTTACATGTAAGGTTTCTCAGTATTCAATTCAAATGTACTTTTCATGCTGTTTACATAACGATGCTCAGAAAACAATTGCTTTCATGCTATTAAAATTAATATCGTAACACTTTTGTATAAAAAAAGTCGATCTTAATGAAACATATACATATTGAATATACATTTTATGCAATATACATGCACGTTTAAGCCTATTACAAATGGCGATTATTTTGTATCTGTTACTAAATTTTCATTTGTAATTATTATAAATATATTTACACCTAATGAAAAGATTATTTACGATCTTTTTGCGAATGTACGTCATGTTGGTCATGCTCCACCATTCGCATCTTTGACGAGTTATCAGATGCGAAGTATATTAATGTAAAATCTTGCACGTTGTAGCAGTATCAGATTTACATTTTTACACTTACAATCAATGTTAATTCATAGTTTTATTTTTCTGTTGTATATGTCCTTTGCTCAATTTTATAGTGATTCCAGCATAAATGACACGTTTGAATTTGGTTACTCGGGAAGATAAATAAGTGTAATCGTGTAGTAGTATGTTATTTGGTGTATCATACTATCATCAAAATAAATCGGTGCGTCAAAATATTTTACGTTACACATTAAAGATTTCGAAATACTGATTATTTATGCGTCTCATGAACGCGGAGAAATCGTAATTGATGACAAGTGTCTTGGCAGACTACATAATTCCCTTTTTTTTAGTGAAAGTAGAAAAGTCGTATATATAAGAAACTAAGGATTAAATGAATTCACAAAAAAATTATCAATATTCATCTGCAAATTACAAATTGTCAAGGTTAATAAAATTAGGTATGTTTGGCCGGATGCCTCACGCGTTAATTACATTCGACTAATTTCTAATCCAACAATATAAGGGTGATTAGTACTTATATCATATTTCACATACTTTGTTTAAATTAGTGTTTGTGACAAATAAGGTGAAAACATTGAAGTCATATTAACCTGTTTTTCGTGCTTAAATACGTTTCATGTAATTACGTATGTATGTAATGCAGTATACACGTATTTTTTACGCGATGTATAATCAGCCGTAAACCGCGTGTTTGATACCTTTATGTATCAATATAGGATTTTTCTTTCGTATTAAAGGTTGTGACTTGTGTATTCTATGACTTATGAATAATACGAGATATTAGATCGCGGAATCTTTTCATACGTGTTAAGAAATACGGTTGCACACATCAAACTGTTTAGAAGAGTTTCATTTAATTTTTTTTTCGTTCGTATTATTTAATGCAGATCAATTCACCTTGAATCTGTGAAGCAAAGAATGAGACTATAGTGATCTCAAATACCTCTCAGGATGTTCAAAGAAAATGATAGCAGTTCAGGAGGCTGCAGTGGTACAGCTCCGCGATCACGACGAATATTGCCACGATTTTCTCTACGTCGATTATTATATTCGAGTCCGTTAATTGGCCGGCGAATTGCCAGAACACCTAGTTCGAGTAACAGGAGTACTAAAAGTAATAAACAATGTTTGGTGCAATAAATATGATATGAAAAAATGCGAAATTATTTATTTTCCTGAATATTAATTATTGTTTTAGCTAAAGATCAGGCTGGTAGCAGAAATACAGATGTGGAAAAAGGAGAAGCCAGAGTAAGTAATGGTTCAAGCCATTTTCAATTTCAGAATATAGATCTACAGCGTGCTTCCAGCAAAGGTTCTGTACTTTCTTCTGCAGGAAAGGTATTTATAGAATATATATCTGTGCAACAAAGCTATCAGAATGCGTTTGGTTTATATTGAAATTAAATTACAGTAGTTAATTAATGAACAAATGTAATACGAAGATTATGAAATAATTATTCCAGAGTAATGAAAATGGGTTGATGGAATGCCCCTTATGTTTGGCTGAATTTCCAGTGGACTTCTTTCCTGTAGTACAGTCTTGCCATCATCGCAGTTGTTATGACTGCTTTCAACAGTATCTTAAAGTTGAGATTTCAGAATCTAGAGTTAATATAGCATGTCCTGAATGTTCAGAACCATTACATCCAAACGGTAAATAAGTTTTTGTGTTAAGAAAAAACATGTTACCGTTAACAAGATACCTTTTGTTATTGAGATTTGCCTTTATACAGATATACGCATGATTTTAAACGACCAAACACAGTTGGAAAAGTACGAAGATTTTATGGTACGAAGAGTACTTGCTGTGGAACCCGATGCAAGATGGTGTCCTGCACCAGATTGTAGTTTTGCTGTTATCGCCAGTGGTTGCGCATCATGTCCAAAGTTGCGTTGCGAACGGCCAGGATGTGATTCATACTTTTGTTACCACTGTAAAGCACAATGGCATCCTAATCAAACATGCGATGCCGCCAGAGCCCAGCGCGCTCAGTACTATGAACGTAGCTCGTCTCTCAGTTTCAGTCAAAGTGATTCGCAACACAGTATGTATAGTTCGTATTACTATGTTTTGGTAAGTTAGTAAAATATAATATTGTACATGAAATAATTTTACAGGAGATGACATTAAACCTTGCCCAAGATGTCAGGTCTTTATTGGTAAAATGGATGATGGAAGTTGCAATCACATGATTTGCGCAGTTTGTGGGGCGGAATTTTGTTGGTTGTGCATGAAAGAAATCAGTGATCTTCATTATTTAAGGTATTATAGTTTTTAATATAACATACAGTTTGAATATTGTGCTGGTAATATAATTATTATTTTATGACCTTTCATTGTTTTACAGTCCTTCCGGTTGTACCTTTTGGGGAAAGAAACCATGGTCTAGGAAGAAGAAGATCCTTTGGCAACTTGGAACGTTAGTAGGAGCTCCTGTTGGAATTGGTTTGGCCGCTGGTATAGCTGTACCTGCCATGATTATTGGTTAGTGAAACATGATTATTTGGTTCTCCTCGTGCCAGAACAATGAATGCGGGAAAGTTATTGGGATTCGGGCTCGGTCAAAAAATGTCTCCACAGCTTAATACGGAAAAACTGTACCGAGCTGCTTCGTAACTTTATATTTTTTGTCGCAGGTATACCGGTATGGGTGGGGAAGGAATTGTATACAAGGTACGAAAAAGCTAACAAGCACAAGAGGAATGCCTTCATTGTTGGCGGCGTCACTGCATCCGTAAGTAAAAATTTTACTTTTTATATTCAATTTGGTTCGTTATTAAATTAGTGCCTTTTACGATTAAATATATTTCATGGTTTAGTAAAATTATTAAGTGCCGCGCGTATTGCTGTTGGTCTGGTTATGAAAGCATTCTTTCGAGATAATAGTAATAGATATTTAATTATGTATAAAAATTTTTTTCGGGAATCATTATTATACGCATAAACGCAAACATTTCTATAAATTCATGACAACATCAAGGTATATTTTATTTATGTAGTTTGTACAAAGAAAGAGAACAATATAATTATTGCGTATGTAAATTAGCGATAACAGAATGTCGGTCTTATAGCCGTTACAATAATTGCGGGAAGAAATGCAGTCGGAGAAACAGTTTCGATTCAAACGATCGATACACTTAATTGGTTTAAAGTCTCATCAAAGGTCTAAATTATTTTATAGCATACGCGCTATTAGCAATTATTTAGCTCTCGAGTTATTATCGATATTATAATTTCATGTGGTATTTATTGATGTTCTGTCTGCTTATGTCGCGCTGAAACATAAGTGTTATAAGTTAACATACCAAATATTATCTTAAAATGTATATCGATGACGCAATTTTCTACGTATGTTCGTTAATACTTTCTCAATTAGCAGATATTTTTTTGAACGCAAAAGTCTATATTATCGACTCTACGCTTTCCACGATATTTTAACGTGACTTCGATTTCTTTAGCTACCCGCAATTACGTCGTTATCGGCACAAGCCTTTTGCTCGTGATAAGATCACGTTAATCGCGATTTTAACGTCCATTGTCGACCTCTGATCGAACATCTGGCCGATCGGTTCGAGTCACCAAGTTGCCCCTCCGATTTACATCTCGCGCGGTAGCATTGATTCACTGCGGCGCTATAATGAGCGACGATCACGCTGACTAAGAATCATTTTCGCTCGTCGGGATGGCAGTCTCGTCCGTGAACACGCCTTCGCTGTGAAGATCCTTCAGGGCGTCGATCAGTCGTTGTTCGGTGTCGGGATCGCCTAAAGCAACGTCTACCGATCCGATGCAAAGCAGAAGCGCGAGAAGCAGCGATCGTCTGTAATCCTTGCTCAGGTCTTCTCTCGTGTAACCCAAGTCCTTGGGTATGTCTACGCCGAGGCGCGAGCACGTGCTGGTCAGGGCGTTCCAGTAGATGTCGAGGAAGGTTTCCGTGTGCTTTCGACGCAGCTCGGTTGGTAACGAGCTCACTATCAGCAAAGCGATGTCGTTGGTCGGTCTGCTGTAAGTGACCATTTGCCAATCGAGGATGCAACACTCGAGGCCGTTGGGCCCGTCTTTGAACAGCAGATTGTTGCTCCAGAAATCCGTGTGCGTGATCAGCGTGAGCGGCCCTTCCGGCGCGAGAAGCGCGGATATTATGTGTTTGGTTCTCGGTCGTAGCACGAGCAGGGTTTCGAGTATTGCCTCCAATCCGGTGTTTCTCAGAAATTTGGCTAGCTGCGGTAAACCACGCTCGACTAGATGCTGATACGAGTCCGTCGCTTTTGCGGTTTGGAAGAGGAACGGATAACGCTCCGACAGCGACTGTCCCTCGATGACCTTCATCGCCAACGAGTGCGCGTGTATACGCGCTATGGCCTCCAACGCGACTTTCGTTTGATCGTACGACATCCCTTTTCGAAACTTGATGTTGCAAAAGTCGTAGTCGCGGAGATCTTGCAGCACCAGCATCGAATCGGGCGTCGTGACGTCGTCGTCGGTCTCCTCCGCCGGTGTGTACTGCGCGTGGTAACACATCGGGACCGGCAGCGAAATTTCGTCCCCGGACCTGTTCTCCTCCAACGCCAGTTGCTTCTTTTGGAATTCCTTCAAGTCTGGCATGACCTGATCGTAAACAGAGTCTCGTTATATTCGTCGTACGTAGCAATTAGTTGATCGCTTACCTGTGTGTAGAACTTTATTTCCCTGAGATCGAACTGGCCCTCGTTAACGTAATAACGATTGAACGCATCTTTCGGCAGCTCTTTCACGATCAGCGACAGATCCTGCGTCGTGTTCGATTCGTTCAACACGTACTTGACTTTAACGCTAATTATAGTGCTCAGCACGCTTTCGTTGCTCATACATCCCGGGTTTACGTTACACTCGGTTATCGTGACCTGCGCATTACAATGTTTAAACGATCTTTAGTAATAGTTTAAACATTCCTACGGGGCAACCGTTAACTGGAAATCATAGTCTCTACCGAACTAACCGATTCTTTGTGAAATTCCCTTAGGATACCGTCGAGCCAGTCCTTATCAATCTCCGGCTTCTGCTCCTCCGTTTCGCTGGGGGAATCCTCCGCGTCTTCCCAATCCCAATCCATGTCTTTCCAATCCCAATTGGACATAATCTCGATTCAACCTGTGTTTTCTGCGGCTAACGCGCGAGATCGATTACTCGTTAGCCAAACAGAAGGGGGGAAAATAGAGTGTCGTCGGTTCCGATGTACTACCCGAACGACGCTGATAATGCACATCTACGCTCGCGACGGATAATAGGCAGAACGCGCCTATTCGACTGGTTCGCATATAGTAGCGCGGCACGGGTGTGTATTCGAGGCTCTCGGTTCGCTTCGCGAAATCACCGGCAATGAATGGATTCGTCGCGTGTCCCGTCTACTTCCTGTTACGTCGACCGGTCCTCGAGCGTGCGGCCCGACCAAGTTCGACGTCCTCTCATCGGGATCGGAAACGACGTTCCCGCGACACACCCTTGGCGCATAGGCCACCAGCTACCTGATACGTACGGCGGGCACTTGTTTAACGCCGTACCTCTTTCGATTCTGGCGCAGTGTGGATCTTAAAGTACGAACTGACACTACGCACGTTCCGTCGTTGCCCACCCAGAGGTGGATGCAAGCCGCAGGGTGGGACAGAGAGGATCTCCCATGCGCGTACTTCTACCCGCCCGATCAATATCCTTCCTTCCGCACCTCCCACACCTTCTGCTGCTCGCCGTGCACTTTCTCCGCCTCCTGTTCCGCTGCCCGCCACGCTCCTTTCCGCACGCTCGATGGAAATCTGGAAAACAGATCGGTCTGCGCGAGCCAGTAATCCTCTTGGCTCGTCCCAGAGATACGGGCTTTATCCAGATACTAATTTCGAATAAACAACGTTTATGCGCCGATCGCAGACCGAAAGTTACATCTCCTGTCGAACGAATCAAGCGAATTACTTGATTCCACGTCTCGTTTTTGACTCGTGACTATTATTAGAATAAACGTCTAGATAATTGTCTAAACAAAATTGAATTATCCGAATAATCAACGTTCGCAGTATTCTGTCCAGATGGGGAAACAAACTTTTGTCCGGACAAACATTTATCTAGACGAAAGTTGGTTCGCGTATTTTCTCTTCCTCCTGCCTTCCGCACGCTCGATGGAAATCTGGAAAACGGATCGTTCTGGTAGTCCTTAACTTCGTTGAGATTCGTCTAGATACAAATTTTAAACAAACAACGTTAATCGTAGTTTGAAAGTTCGAATTTTAGTCACAGAACGAAGTTATATTTCACGCTGAACGAGTATAAAATTTATGTGCGCAAGGGATCGATCGAATAAAAGTCACAAACAACTTGGCTCTCGTCTCTGGCTCATCGGGACTATTATTAGAATAAATATTTGTCTCGATAATTATATAAATAAAATGGCTTTCTCTGTACGAATCATCTGAATAAACGTCATTTGCAATGCTCGTTTGTTACGAATAAAAGTTTATCTGAATTAAAATTTGCCAAACACTGCTAGGAATTAGATGATCGAGCAGCAATTCTCAGAAAAAAAAAATTCGAAAAAAACCTGTAAAAAGAGTATAAACCTGTTTGTCCTTTTTAGTGGACCAATATTTAAAAAAAGAATATGATACTATAAAATTAATCGTATGATATTTAATTGAAGTTAACGCTGCGAAGCGTATCGGTCCAGTCATGCGATACTAGGGGTTAGGTGGCTATACCTGCCGTTGTTATGCATATAGACAGCTGCAAGGTCTCGGGCAAAAATGATCGGTAACTTTGCAATAAATATGCTTTGTAATACGGTCGATAAGTATTGGAAACTCAGTCTTTGTCAATGGCACTTATTGTTGGAAACAGTAAAGTTGTCACTGTTTCATGGAGGCCATGAGATAGGAATTAACATTGCTCCGAAAGAAATTCTTGAAACTACTCGATGATTCATATACAGGGTGTTCGGCCACCTCTAGGAAAAATTTTAATGGGGGATTCTACACGCCAAAATAAGACGAAAATCAAGAATACCAATTTGTTGATGGAAGCTTCGTTAAAAAGTTATTAAAAAATTAAATTAAAAAATTTCAAATCATTCTGAAAAAATTATTTTTGGTCGCGGAGGTCAATTACAATCATTTTTGGCGAATAGACATACCCCCGAAATCCTACCCACTTTCGAGAAAAAAATTCGGATAGGTGCTGAAATTTTTCGATAAAATTAAAAGATTTCAAATCGCGCTGGAAGAATTATTTTCGGTTGTGGGGGTCAATTACAATCATTTTTGGTGAATACATATACCTCCGAAATCCTATCCACTTTCGAGAAAAAAAATCGGGTAGGCGCTTAAATTTTTCGGCGCAAAAAAAATTTCAAATTGTTCTGGAAAAATTATTTTCGCTTGAAGGGGTCAATTATAATCATTTTTGGTGAATAGACATACCGCCGAAATCCTACCCATTTTCTAGAAAAAAATTCGAGAAGGTGTGAAATTTTTCGACGGAAAAAAAAATTTCAAATCGTCTTGGAAAAATTATTTTCGGCTGCGGGGTTCAATTACAATCATTTTTGGTGAATAGACATACCGCCGAAATTCTACCCACTTTCTAGAAAAAAATTCGAGATGGTGTGAAATTTTTCGACGGAAAAAAAAATTTCAAATCGTTTTAGAAAAATTATTTTCGGTTGCGGGGGTCAATTACAATCATTTTTGGTGAATAGACGTACCCCCGAAATCTTGCGCATTTTTCGAGAAAAAAATTCAGTACGGGCAGAACTTTAAACGTTAATAACTTTTTAACGAAGCCTCTATCAACAAATTGGTATTCTTGATTTTCGTCTTATTTTGGCCTCTAGAATCTCCCATTAAAATTTTCCTCAGGGGTGGCCGAACTCCCTGTATAATTAATCGGTCTTAATATCTTTTCCTTTGTAGATATTCTTAAAACATATACTTGTAATGTTGTCTAAGTATATAATAATTTGCATAATTTTCAATCAGTCTGTGAAAAATACACGTGAGATTGTATTCTCAATTTTTCATATAGATTTTGTAATTTTCCAGAGCTAAAAAGTGAAAGTTACATAAATGCGAGTAAAAATGGCTGTGCGACAGAAGCAACGCATCCGCCTGGCTTTTACATAGTATGTAACGCACGAGTGCCCCAACACGCTTCGTTACATCATAAACTTTTATTAATTTTCATACGGTTAAGTTTAAAGTGTCGCCTTCTTTGAAAATTTACCTGTAAGGAGAACAAACAGGACTACATTTTCAGTTTCTTTAGATTTTCCTTCAGCTATTAGAAACCATGTACAATTTTTAAAAATACTTGTACGTTCCTTTATTATCGAGGAAGACTTAGTATTGTTTGAGAAGTTATGCAGCGACAACTTCTCGGAGAGATAGATGGAATTTGATCGTCGTTATCTCTCCAGCTCGCTCTTTTGTATACATCGAGAACGAGAACGCGAAACAATGGAAGGGAGTGAGATATAATACAATTAACAGAGTGCTAGTAGTTCTACAAAGTGACGAGGATAACTTTGTGACATCTCCGACAATAATGTATTTCTGTGTAGAGGCGCCTCAAAAAGTAACTGATTTGTCCTTATATCTGCAACCAACCTAATTAGGTACATTATACATATACCAAAATAGTCTTTAATTTCGTTATTTTGAGAACTTATTTTGTAAAGGTTGTATTCTTGATTTACGAGAAAATAAAATCAATTTTTTGAATTTGTTACACCACTGTACGCCGCTATAGGACTGACACGGGACAATCGCAATGAATACAAATTTGGACAATTGTTGCAGGTGTTAGTATCGCCAATATTAGCAGGATTGGCCGTGGGTATCGGCGTTCCCGTTCTGTTATTTTACGTCTACGGTGTGGTCCCAGTTTCTCTTTGTCGAAGCGGAGGTTGTGGCGTTTCGACCAATGGAACGGGTGTTCGATTTGACTTTGACGACGAGAACGAACTGATGGGTTCTTTGGGTACCCGCAACGGTGGAGGTAAATACGTTTAATTCGTATTTAAATATTACATTTACAAACGAACTGTAAGTGTGTACGATCCTCCTACATCGAACTTATTTAAACGTAATTACAAGCGTAATATTTATGATAGATGCAGCATCGATAGATGTCGCGAGTCATCGTGGCGGTAATCCTTCGATAGGAGAAGCTTCGCTTTCATTAGGCAGCGGAAGCCAGTTGGAAAAGCTGGGTCGAGAAAATGACCGTGAGAGCGCCAGCAACGTAGCTCTCGCTGGCACCAGTCTCGCCGGAAGCATAGCTTCCAGCGTCCTTCCGGGTGGTCAGAGGTAGATTATACTTTGCTCGTTTCTATAACGCCCAATAGTTTCGAAATATCATCCGAGTTTTATACATACGCTACGTTTCGAAACAGATTGGAAGTTCAAGCGGACGTGACGTCCACGCAACGATTCAGCTTGTGCAGCGAAACTGTGTCCGCCACGACCAGTTTGTCCGAAAAGTCTGTAAACGCGTCCATCGCTTTGGATGATGGCGCAGCTTCCACGAGAGCCTCGGCTGGCTCCGTTCAAAATTTCAAGGTATCGCATAATCAAAGTTAGATCGATATCGATGTTATATCGTTTGTTGATGTTATATGTGTTTTGTTTAGTTCAAATCTCAAAAATTTGCGAACAAATTTTATTGTATAACGTATAGATAGATGGTAGTTCGATCAGCGGAGGAAGACCTACGGAAGGGGAGCAAGGGGCAAGCTCTATTGCCGGGGGTCACATGGACTCGGCAGGACAAGCTACGTCTTTAAGTTCGCTCGAAGAGGTAGCGCCAGGTTTAGCGAAACGCGCCCGACGCAAACCGACGTTAGATCGTCAATGTAGCGATTCGAGTAATTGGACCGTCTGCGGCGAAGACGGCGGTTCCGAACGCGTCAGATTCGATGATCATGTTAGTTTTATCGAGGCGGATCAAGAAAGTGTTGTTAGTACATGCGGGGTGAGCAATCGAAGCACTGGACGACGTAAACGCAACAAGGAGACGGAACAGGAAACGGATGCTCAAAAAACTTCAAAGTACGTCCGGATTTAAATATCAGTTAAAATGAATAACGATTATATTATTGTTATTTTTAGGAATTGTAACGGCGACTCGAATATTGATTCCTCAGCGGACGACAACCTGTCGCGGGAACGGGTCAACGTTGCCACTTTGAGAAATGTCTTCTTTTATAGTTCGACGGTGTCTACGGATCGCGAGAAGCGATTATCAGTGATAGAAGAACCGTCTCCTGCCGGAGTACAGAATAAAGGTGGTCGTTTTTCATCTTCCGACGAGGAATGCAAAACCAGTAATGCGGATGAAAATGTGACCTCTTAAGAACAAGTAAAGACTGAGTATTTTATCTATTAACGATGTACACGCGTCTTTTAAGTACGAGATGCGTAGATACGTATTCACATATGTGTGTATATATGTATTGTAAGTGTACACCGCGCGCGTGCATTAGCTTTGAACTTAATGTATATTAGAGTTCTGCAACGGGCGGGTATCTCAAGGTACTACCCGTTCATCCAATTAATGGATTAGACGATTAGAGTGTGTTCATGTATCGGTCGGGATAAATTGTAGTAGCTTCGGTGCTGCTACGGGAGGGTATACCATAGCATAGCCCGCAACCTGCCAATCATGCATTTACACGAGACTCACCTGGTCGATTGTCCCTTTATTTGACCATACCTATGCGTTCGATCTTTACTTAAACTCGCCCGACACGTATATTGCGATGCAACGAGGAATTTCGTAAGTCTGTAAACGGCGATCTATGTCGAATCTGTCAAATGATAAATAGATGCTAGTGATTAAAAATCAGATAGTAGACTATATTTGCAGAACTCTACTATATTTATGCATATTACGTATAAACGTACTATGAGTGCAATAGAGGGAACAAGGTAAAACTAACTTTGCAAAGCAAAGTACATCGAAGTAAACAGTATATGCATTCATATTTTCGAGAGGTGTGTAAATATTTGACATTTACGCGCGCGTGCACGCGCGCGCACACACACACACACACACACACACACACAGAGAGAGAGAGAGACACACAGACACAGACACACAGGCCTCACATTTGTTACAAACAAATGACATTAATTTAATGCAAATGATTTTCATCTTGTGCCAGTACATTCTTGAGCGAGGATGAATATTGTTGTAACGCGCAAGAGGTTATGTTCTTGTATGCAAAACGTAGCGCTAGCAAATCCAACATATTGGATTCGTTAGAATAAGAAAAAAAAAAAAATCGACACCAATTGTTGTATGACATAAAATAAGAGTGATTATATGAAAAGTTGAAACGAAATTATGAATAACTTCATAAAGTCTTTATAACGTTGCATTTTACGTCGAATAACAATTATCATTTTCTATGGATGACGTACTCATCGATTTGTCAATCATCTCTCCGGGTGTACAAGTATTATAAGAGTCTTTGTATATGAACAAATTTTCTAAATGTTGTCCTTTGATGTATGAAAATATACATAACATGAAATATATTTCTGAAGGCAGTGATTATGCCTTGGTATTGAGTGTATAGTGTTTTAGGAGAAAAATTTAAGATTACCATAAAAAAGAGATATGGTAGTATATTATCCTTCGCTTATATTTATTTATTTTTATCTTCAATGATTTACATATGATAATTTCAGGTGCTTTGTTAAGCATGTCAACAACTTTGAATTGTTTTTCTTGCCCATATATACACATTTACGTAATACTATGCACGAATCACTAACGAATATAATAAAAAGCATATTGTGGAACTATTTTTGCGATTTTACATTCTATAAACTTTTGGCTTTAAGTTTCAAAAAATTTAAATATATGTACATAATTTTGTAAAATTATCTGAATCGTACCTACAAACATATACATGTTTTTAATATATACACAAATATGTATGTTTTTGTTTATAATAGCTATGTTGTCTATTTGGATAAGCTAATGTCATACGTCCAAATGAGAAAATGTCTATGCAAAAATTTTTCATAGAAGTTTATATAGTCGTATAAAACGGATGTATGAATTCAAAAACAGCCAAATTGCGAAATATGACATGAGCTGCCATATCATGTTAATATATACACAGTAGATATTTTAGTTAAATAATGCATATTCTGAAAATGTGCCTAGAATAACTAGTACGTGGTACAAAATATAAAAAAAAGGCAAGCTTAATGTAGAACAAATTTTTAAAAGTATGCATTTTTACCGATATTTTTACGTATTTTAAATAATGATTTAAATATATAAATTAAACAAACGTACGTTTCGTTAATATAAAGTGGGGTGCAATTTTTAATACGTTAATATAAACAACATACACAAATCCACAAGGAATGAACTACTTTTACAACATTTAGTATTAGTTTCTCCAAACTTTAGTCATTGTACATTTTGTATTAAGACCACAATTTATTGTGTTACAAAAGTGTATCATTTAAAATGAATGTAAATTCGTAAATACAACAAAATATAATGTAAATTGTATACTTCTTTAAATTATAAGAATATGTTTATGCTGTACAAATTTGGTCAGTATTTTTTTTTTTTTCTTATTACGTTTTTATTTAATACAGATATTCAATAATAATACTGGATCGTTAGTTAGACTTGGAAGACTAAATGGTTTTATAAATTATTCTTATATTTACATACATTACATTCCTTATGCATATTATAAATTAAATTGATCTGCTTAAAAATAAGGGAGATTTTTTAAACAACTCATCTACTTTTAGTTTAAAAAGTTCACTCTGAATGGGTTCATTTAATTGGCAAAGAGGATTTTTTACAACATATTCCAAGTAAACCTGGAAAAAGTTAATTAGCTACATAATTTTATGTAAGCAATTAAACTTTATAAATTTATATTCTTAAGAATTTCTCAATTATAAATATTTCTTATAATATAAAGTAATGCCCTTAAGAAACATTATACAGGTATATTTACTCACCTCCTTGTACAATTGCTGTAATAATTCCCTAGCATTTTGTGAAGCATTATCAGTATTCAACACAAATTTTAATCCAGACGGGACTTCGAAATAATGTAACGTGTATTTACTGGTTTTATAATACAAAAACCCTTCCTTTGGATCCAATGGTGATATCTTACTTACGAACGATTTAATGGAAAACAGCATTCCATACATTAATTTAGCTTCCTGAATTTCATATAATTTCACATTCAATCAATTTAAATTTATTTGATAGAAATAATTACTATTTTATGAGTCACTTTGAAATATATTGACGTTGGCAAGGTTAGAAATAGTAGTTATTTCGCTGCATCATATCGGCAGTTCTTATTAATTAGTAATTAAGTACCTCTTCCTTTGTGATTCCAGATCTGTTCAACCTATTCCATTCTGCGTAATATAATAACGTTCCATTTTTAGAGAATATGTACAAATTGTGAATTGTCATATTAACCACAGTTACCGACTTCGGTCTGCGTGTGCAGTGTTACCAGATGGCAAACCGAAGCCCAGAAAAAGTTGCGCCTCCACTTACCTACCCTAATGAACAACCATAGACGAGGTATACGCGTAGACCTTTCACCCAATGTATTTTTTCGGTCCGTTTCTCTGGGGTCTCAAGACCCATTAGCATTTTCGTGTCACTCGCAACGTTACCAACAGATTCAAAAATGAATTTTAATCCCTTCCATAGTCAATTCACATGGATTTACGCAAAACTACAGTTCTTTACCTATCAATGCTAATTCGGTGAATAGTTTCTCAACTGACCACCATCCATGAGAAGAGGACGCTAAAATCATCTCCGAATTTTTCGCTCACGTATGGCAATTGTTCAAACTGACGTACAAAAAGACAAAAATTAACGAGATACACTCTTTCAAAGTGGAACAAAATGTTAAAAAGATCATGCATCAAATTGTAAGGGGATCCTCGTAAGAAGGCTTTAATCTTCGTAATGATTTTAATGGGTCGATGATCAACAATGACTAGCTTATAGTCACTGGTGGTCAACAGTGAGGTTGACATCAAGGTCAGCAGTCCAGTGAAGATCCAGAAATGGTCAAGAGGTGGGACCAATCGAAATAGTTTCTTTGTAGACAAGACAGTCTTAACTGTTAACTTCAACTTTGGCTCTGACTGGTCTCCCCACCCTTTCATCACCTTAAACATATAAGCAGGGTCTCTGCGGAGAATTCTTCAGTCTCGTCGCGGATCACCGCGTCGACCGTCGCGCGGGGGTGGGGGCGGTCCCGGGTGTGCAGGAACCTGCTTGGGGCGAGTTGAAGCGCCAGGCCCGGCAGTCCGTGGTGCACGCGTGGCAAGTGCGGTTGGCTCTGCCTACCGCGGGGCACCGGACAGTCGGGGCTGTTCGGCCACTCCTATGTGAGTGGCTGGACAGAGGCCATGGAAGCCTCACTTACAGGATGGCACAGGTGTTCTCGGGGCATGGCAGCTTCGGGAGATACCTGTGCCGGATAGGGAAGGAGCCGACGGCGCGTTGCTGCCATTGTGACGCTGAGCAGGACACGGCGGAACATACCCTCGAGGTATGCGCTGCATGGGAGGGTGAACGCCGTGTCCTGATCGGCGTCATCGGGCGGGATGTCTCGCTGCCGGGCATGGTGCGCGCCATGCTCGGCAGCGAGGAGAAGTGGAGGGCCGTGGCCTCCTTCTGCGAAATCGTAATGTTGCAGAAGGAGACCGCGGGAAGGGAGCGCGAGCGTCAGCGGCGTGCTGAAGCTCGCGCTCGTTTGGTGGCGAGAGAGCGTCGCCTGGGCGTCAGGCGACGCGGGCGGCCCCCTCGGCGTGGCGCATGACCCAGGCTGGGAGGGGGGTCCTGATAGGAGCCCCCTCCCGCCAGGCGGAGTAGGGTCGGACCGGATGGGGTGGCAGTGCCTCCTGTCCGGGCCCGGCGCACGGAGCGGCACCCTCGGTGGCCTGGTGCGGCCGTGAGCTGCCGGCCTCCGAGGGGTGGAGGGGGGGTCGCGGCGGTTGCGAGTTGGGGCTCGCAGCCGCCACTAGACGCGGCCCCGGGACGGATGGCGGCAGGAGGATGTGACCTCGTCCTGCCGCTATGAGACAGGGCGATTACCGGGGGGACCGTTTTGTCCCCCCGCGGGTGGGCGCAAAGCGCGGGCACGGGGAGGATACCGGAAGTATACTTCAAGCGATTCCCGGTATCCTCCCAAATCGTGCGGAAGGGTCACCGTGGGGTTTTTAGTGGGTAGGTCCCGCGCCCGTTATAATGGGCGCGGGGAATCCCACACACCCCTCCCGCCTCTCCCCAAAGAGGTGGGAGGGAGTCTTTCGAAGATTTTCCCCACGAAAAAAAAAAAAAAAAAAAGTCTCGTCGCGGATTCGGGAGTGGGCAAGTAGCCAGAAGTGAACCGGGGGGGATCGCTGCTGACCACTACTGACCACTACTGACCAATACTGACCAATACTGACCAGTGCCGGACGGTGATGACCTACGGTAAGAACTGTTTAAAAATTCTCTCCCCTCCTTTATTCTATCGTTTGATACCAATTTCGCTTCAATGAACTGATTTTGCCGTGCTTGTCTAACTGACGTTGCTATAATATGAATATTTTCTTACTTTACAGCTGGCCCAGTGGTAACTATCCTACGTACTGACAACAAGTAGTAAGTCCACTCCACTTATTTATATTTTACTATTTTTATTTGTTTGTTTGATGTGAATTCAAGCTTCGATATATATAATATTGCAGGATATAATAATGTAATATTGTTTTCTTGCTTGAATTCTCGTAATATTCTACGGAGGTACTTTGTTGATTCTTCCATTTCGTTTGATTGTTTGGTGTTGATTCAACTTGGTGTCTCGATCCAAGTTTCTTTCATTACAATTACGAATTTGATATGTATAACATTGTGTCGATGCATATATCATATTTGTTTTGACGACACTGATGAATATAAGATTTTTATTTTTACGTTTCAGTTTAAATTCTTGTAACATTTTGCTAATATACTCTGTTCAATTCCCTTGAACTAGTTGATAGATCATTTTTAAGTGTTTATAAACCTCCTTTTTAACCCCTTAGCTTAATGATGTTTCAGAGACATGATAAGTCTACCGGGCCAAACATGAACAAGCCGACTCAAAGACGTGATAAGTCTACCGGGCCAAACCTTGGTGACGCTTTTGGCACGCACAGTTGGAAATTAAATCATAAGGCAAAGGGGTAAAACAACTGGTTGTATATGTGCTTTCTTTGGCAAGTGTAGTTAGTATCTTTTGCTTAAAATTATAATCTTCTTGCACACCGCGATTTTTAAGATGACAAATGTCATAGTAGATTCATTTTTAATTCGACACTAATTTTAAAATGAATATATAATGAGTACATATACATATATGAGTAGTTCACTTTCTCTCGTCCGCTCGTTCTCTGGTTCTCGCTTTCCGAGATTATGTCTCGACTGAAAGGACCGGAGAGTTTTGCTCGATCACCTCTGTTTGATAGAATGAAACATGTGACACCTGTGTATTAGGTGTGATAGCTCTTACCGCTTCAACCCCGGTGCAGCTTGGTGCAGCTTGTTTCAGCTTAAGTGGGGCCTCACCGAGCGCATATATTCTCCTCTTTATACGGAAAAGAGAATGACCTCCGGTGAGAGTTCTTGACTCATATCCGTTCTCGAGTACTAAGCGGGTCCTGTTGTGATCGTGTGTCCTCCAGGACCCGGCGGTTGTACGTAGAGAAGCCCGATAGACATGGGTCAGGGGCGTGACTTGCTTTTCTGATAATCAAGGCCGGGGGGGATCAATCTGATACCCACACTCACTGCACGCTATGAGCACGTGTCGCGTCGCGTTTTATTTAAGCGTGCGATGTTTTTACACGCCGCAATTTTTAATATGACAAATGTAATATCGATCGAAAGTAGAGTCATGATTTTAATATCTTTTATAATACTGTGGGATCGGGAAGATAATGACTCCGCTCTATTCCGTTCCGCACAATTGTATTGTTGCTGTCGTACAACGACGTGACTCGTGGTGCGGGTTACGCTCGACTCTCTGGTACGATCATCGCCACCGTACCAAGAGGCCTTCAAAAACAAAAGACGGTCAGAGACGACGACAACGGCTTTTCGGCTCACGCGGCTCTGGTCGTCTCGTGTGCAACCATCGTCTCGTGTGCAACCATACATTGTAGCGGCTTCGAACGGCTAAGGCGTATGTGGTGCCTTGGCCGCCACAATACTTATAATTATATTAATTTTAGAATGAGTGTCAAATTAGTAGCTTCCGATTGTTCTTTACCCTTTTCTATAATTAAATTCACTTTCATAATTCAGTTGACGACTTTCGGTATCTTCGATATCAAAGATACCCAAAGTCTTTCTTTACTTATTAAAATATATCATTCGATTGACGTGCAAGAAGATATTTCGCGACGAATACATTTTAGAGTCAAAGTAACCTGGTATATTATGTACTATTTTTACTTTCTCACTGCACTTGCCTGTAGTTGTAGTTTTACTTATATTGTTTTGTTTATTCTCTTACTTATCTATTAAGCAAGTTTCTGTTACAGAGCAAATTCCTACGGAAGTTTTAGGTTTATAGAAGTAACAATTAAGAATTGTTACAATTTTGTTTGATATTGCTTTGTTTGTGTTTCAGGAAATCATCGTGGGATAAATAGAAGATAGAAGAAAGAAGAATGTATTTCATGTATTTTGTTTCAGATTGCTTAATTTATGTTTTAATAATTTAGATTTATAGTTAGGTAGAATGTAACAGTATGTTTCTGGAAATTTTCGTTGAAGGATCAACAAGGAAGAATATATTTTCTATGTATTTTGTTAGATGATTAGATAGGTAGGATGTAAGTGAATTTAGATTTATAGTTAGGCAGGAGTTTGGTTCTCTATATTAATCATTACATCAGGCAGGCAATATTTTGGTCTATTTCTCTGTTTTGTTGATGAGAATTTAGAAGCAAATTCTTTCTCAAAAAACTCTTTCGTTGGTTGTTTCCTTCGTTGGTTGCACTTTCGTTTATTGCTTCTTCGACCAACGATCGCTGGTCACAAAAGATCTTTACCAATGGAGGGTGATTGGGAATCGGTTAGGGCGGGTCTCCATTCGCAGCAACCTCCACGTGGTGAGACCTGGGTAATATTATTTAGCTTTTAATTAATAATCGTATCACTCTCAGCTGGGTAATGCAATTATTAATTAAAAACTAAATAATATTAGCAAATTGGCTGTGATCCGCCTTGCATAGGTCATCATAAATATAGAGCTTCTTCACTAGGTTAGTTTTGATTCTCATTGATTCATCAAAGGTTCTAGAGTATTGTCACAGATGATGTATAGAAGTAGATCCTTCATCCAATGTATTTTTGCGGTCTATTTTTATAGTGTCTCGAAACCCCATTACCATTTTCGTGCCAGTCGCAACGTTACCAACAGATTCAGAAATGAATTTTAATCCCTTCTATAGTCAACTTACATTTATTTACGCAAATACTACA